AGCGCGATGGAGCGGCCATTGAACGGTAATTTGTGAGAACTGCACTAGATTGCGCTCTTTTCACCTCGTTGCTGCTTTTTGCTTGGCCAGTTTGTCAGTATATTTGCAGTTTTATTGATAGGTATTTACGAAGAAAGACTGGTTGTCTAGGAAGAACATAAAATCAATGGATTACAGTTGATGTTTCCCGGCAACGACGATGTTAGACGCTTAGAGGAGCACAGCAAATTCGGCGCGAAATTCTGCAACATCCTTGCACTGGTTTCTGTTTGGGATTTATGTATACTGGAAGGATCTCTGGTGGATTCGTTCCCTTTTAAAATCTACCCTAGTCCCAGAGGTAATTCTTGATTTTTCTTCTTTTCGGGAAACGGCGAACACGAGTCGCGAAGCGGCGAGAAAGGAAAACCTCCTTCGCGACTCGTGTTTTCACCGCTTCGCGGCTCTCTCGCAACTCTCTCATGCGGAGAAAAATCAAGAAAAATCTCTGGGACCAGGGTATTTAAATTCAGAAGCGCTTCGCAATTTTGCTTGCTTTGATGTCATCAACCTTTTTCCTGTAATCGATCATCCATTTTGTCATCCTCTCGATTCTCCGATTCTCTATTTGAGCTTTCTTCTGGTTCGTCGTCGTCTTCATCTCCACTGTTTTTGTCTTCTTCATGCTGAGCTGTCATTGGCATACATCTCAGCTGATAAGGTAAAAGTCAAGAATAAGAAATTGGTAAGCAGGATTCTGTATACATACAGTTAAGAAGGTCATTAACATGTTTGTAATGTTTCCACCTTTCAATAAAACTCCATACCAGTGGCCATAGCACCTGACCATGCAATGTCTTCATTACTTAGGAATTCGAAAACGGAAAAAAAACAGAAGATTATTAACCATAATTATTTTGACAGAATTTTTTTTGAATTTTTTATTGAGTTAATTTCAATAATTTACCACAAGTTTAATGATTTTGTTACAGTTTTGAGGCAATCTATTGCTTCTTAAGCCTCCTCTTTTGAAAATTTGATTTTCCTACACAGTTACAAAATTAGCTACCATCTAAAATAGAGTGAAGGATTTCAATCTTTTTCCCTGTGAAAACTTCAAGGTGGTTCTGAAAATTATGTGCCTCACCTCAGCAGCACAAACCATTTCATGTCCTGTGAAGTTTGGCAGCGATAATTTTCTCTTTCAACGGATACAAAACCAAGGAGATGCTGAATGTCAATACCCCCTTGACAAGGTCGGACTGTGCCACCCTCCATGGTCACGTGAACATTGAGGTGACTCTTAGTGATATTATCTCCCAAATCAACTACTTCCATTTTATTGTGACTTTGAACATCCACAACTGCAGTGCACATATGCCATGAACTTGTGGACCAGATAGTGCTTGGCATGCAAAAAAAAAAGCTTCCTTGATGAAGAGCGTGAACTTTCTATTCTGCAAATTTTGGGTGAAACATTGTACATTTCTGCTCTCGGAGTATACAGTAACACTGAAACTTCTATCATAACTCTTATTGGTATTACCTTCTTTTATTAATGCAAAGTAGACTCATCTTCTGTCTACGATCATTGGCTGGACAATAATTTTGTTATGATCCATGCCAGATTTTTCTGTTTTCTAAGTTGGGCAGTAAGTGGAAATACAAAAAAAATGCTGGCTTAGACTAACTAATTTAATTCCAGTTGATGATTACTAGCAACATGTGATTTCACGTTTATGGCTTCCCTTATTAAACAAATTTTGTTTTTGTACTTCTGTCTTCTTGTCTGTCGACCAAGGTCTTTTCATAGTTAAGTATTGGCTGTGGGTGGCAGCTGAACCCA